AATGAATCGAAAGATGGTATCTTGGGGGCTTGGGAGAATTTGGACGTCAATTACTTCATCCATTTGGTCAATTCTATGAAGCAACGCGTCTACAATCTCATAGAAGCAGGTGGAAAATACATTGGGTATTAAATTAGTTTTCATTTAGTTAGTTAGTTATTTCCCTTTTCAGCGTGATAATAATTTGTCACTATAAGTATGTTAACAAAATTACATATTTTCAATAAATTTCGTTCAGTTTAGTGTTTTCTGTGAAAATGTTTTATTAAATTAATTAAAAATGGAATTGCTCAATCAACCAGGTATCTTCACTTTCTTTTAATACATTTAGGCAAAAATTCTGCACCGTGTTTTTTTTTTTGTCTCGTACCTTATATATATATAATGGGTTTCTCGAAAACGGCTTTAACGATTTCGATGAAATTTACAGGTTGGGGGTTTTTTGGGTCAAGAAATCGATTGATCATAGCTTTAACGTCTGAAAATTACAGCTTCATACATTTTCAGCAATTTTCAGGCAGTGAATTATATTTGTTGCTAGGCAACATCAGATGACACTACACGCACACGAGATTGTTTTAGAGAAGTTTGGGTGACAGTACTTTTGACGTACCTTTTTATCTTCAACTGTACGTACCGAAACATACTCCACTGTATATAGGACGTTAAAATTCACTTTCTGAGGTGAGAAAATTTATGGAAAATTAAACAGCGGATAAAAGGCACACGAAAGTGCGTTGAAATGAGATTATGTTGTCAAGCATTAATTTCGGAGGCTTCCACGGTCGTAGTCAATATATGATCGTTTTCCGGGTTGGGACCGTGTTATTTGAGTTTTTGGGCTCAACGTTTCGCACACTTTCGTAAGTGGCATCTCCACGAGTAGAGTTGAGAAATAAGGAATAACGCAAAAGAGCACGGTAACTCAGTAGGTATGTTAAGCATACCAGAGGGAAACTCTTCTGGCAGTAAGAATCAGTAAGAATGTGGTGAAGAAAAAAGAGAACGACACACAAAGAGAACTTGGGTAATAAATGACATTGTAATAAATATCAAACAATAATTCCAGTTTTATATTCTTGAATCTCTACGCATGTAACTCAACTAATAACTACTGAAAAAAAAGTGAAATAAAAAAATTAATCTGTATCGGCGCCATTAATTTTGTATCTAGATACAGATATTTTGTGCTTAAATTCGATTGTATCTAGATACAGATACTAGATACCCAAAAATTTTTCTAGATACTGTTTTTAGATACAAGTATCTAGATACTGCCCAACACTGCTGGTACCCCATATAACTTAGAATAAGGAAATAGTCGAAAGCCAAGAACGAAATAATTCATGCAAGTATTCGGGCTTTAATTAGTTCTCCCATACTGATGACACCAAAACTGAAGCAAAGCATACAATATCTGGAAAGATTAAAATTAATTTTGAAGACAGTGTAAGTATATTTTGTATTCAATTGCAAAGGTATTCTTTTTACTGTCACATAGATAACAAATGATTGTAATTGTAAAGTTTTAACTCCTTTCTTGTCGTAATATTGAACACGTATACGAGGCGTGCCGAAACAGGAATGTCGAGAGTTCGAGCTACGAGCTCGGTGTCGGTGTCGAGGTCACCGAGACCGGTCTAAACATTGACATGTAAAGCCGCACTATATAAAAAAAAAGAAAGAAATAAACTGTTAAACAATACATACTTGAAACTCCGCAGAGAGTGGATTGGTGCTGATTACTGCTGATTCCATCTCTTAGAACCCTCAGAATGCTCTAAGAGAACACTAAACCTACACCCACTGCCAGAATTAATAGAGTACATAGAGTATCTGGACCACAACGATCCTCAGGATGCAGAAGTCAGATAACTATCGGAACTCTGTCAAAGTGCAGATGTTGCTTGACGTTCTTGGGGCCAAGTATATTGCGGTGGCGCCGACTAGTGTGCGGAGGCGTTGACAGGCAGAGCCTCCTGTTCGCAACGATAGTAAATAGCAACTCGGGCGAGGATGAGGCGAAGGAGTGAGAGCGCGAGAGTAGCGTGGGCGTGATCTAGAGATCGAACTATTAAAATAAAATGTGTTCGTTTGACTGTTCCAACGACCAAATTAGACACAACAATTGATGCCGTTTTCACACGTTTTATTACTCATTTAAGAACTGATATTTATATCACTCATTCTAGTCACCATAGGCCAGTAGTAACTGTATTAAATGATTGGGATAAAGATACCGAAGGCGATAACGCTATGATTGAACAGTAATTAGTACACTGCCGGCAAAAAAAACCGGCCACCTTGGAAAATTTCGCAAAACCACTTTAAAAATTATTAATTTAACTAGCGATCGTTCTTTTATTATTTCATTCACTATTGACACACGTGTTGTACAAATGAACAAAAAAAGACAAATAAACGCAGGATTAAATTTAATTTAACAAAATAACAGAAACAGACCAAGTACGATATTTTCTTAATTAAAACAATATAGGATGATGTTGTTGTAAACTGTCTTTTCAATCATTTGATTATAAGTTTAGCAGTTAATAAACGTTTTCACGGAAAATAATGCCGTTAACTCTTATAGACGTCATTCAAATTGTCGCTGTCTTTGTGTTATTTTGTTAAATTAACTTTAATTCTCCGTTTATTTGTCTTTTTTTGTTAATTTATACATCATGTGACAATAGGTAATAATTCTTTATTAAAATAAAGATCACTAATTAAATTAATAATTTTTAAAGTTTGGTTTTGCGAAAATTTTCAGGGTTGCCGATTTTTTTTTGTCGGTCATTGTATTTTAAATCGAATAAGTTATAAATACTGCTCTAGCATTTGTAAATTTACTTGTTACTTTAGTTGGTAAATTACACATTGTATATAATTTTTTTTTATACAATATTATTATAATAATCAATTATGATATTTCTATGTGATAAATAAATAAAATGCAACATATTTTTGTTTTTTTTTATTTTTTTAAGAGAAAAATCTATCTTTATCACCTTGTCTTGCTTTCTAAATTTATAAAAATTTGAATTTTGGATCAGAATCCCCTCGATTTCAAAAGGAGATATATTTTTATTCAAAATCCAAAGTTCGCTTTTCTCCGTAAAATGAGTATAAACTGGGACGCATTAACTAAATCTAATTTTGCTAAAGTGTCCGTGACGACTTATAATCACTATCCAGTTACAATTTTTCCAAACAGTAGTCTTGGTTATTTGTACTTGGATTCTCTACCACATGAACCTGATATTCCATTTAATGTCATCGCACCTGAAATTTCTGCAAGCCATATTAGAAATTTTAAGATAAAATCAAATTTGCACCACTCAGATAAAAAACCCCTTATTGAACTGGTTATACAGATGTTTTTGCAGATGATCTTTTGGAAATCGGCCACACGACTCTAGTATAGTATAAAGTTGAAGTTACGGATGAAAAATCATTTTACCTTATCTTGGCAATTCACAGCAATTTTCCACGTTAGACATGTTTTCTGGGCTTTAGCAGGTAGGCATGGAAAAATTTCCGTTGTGATTTCACTTGCTATATCGGTTTTTCAAAACTTAATTGATCAGCTTTTCCATAGGTTAAAATGGTCATGTGTTCTCGTTTATCTGGATGATGTTTTGGTGTTTCCCGACAATTTTACTGAACACTTGCAAAAACTTGAATTAGTTTTACAACGTCTTCATGAAGCTAATCTTAAACTTAGAACTAGTAAATGTGTATTTGTTGCACAAATCATATTAGACCAGATTCTGACAAGTTACACTCTAAAAAAATCTTTCCACAACCTAAACCGCATAAGCAACTACAAAGTTTTTTAGGTCTTTATAAATATTATCGGAAATTTATTAAAAATTTTGCAAAAATTTCACAACCTTTCTATAAACTAACTTCGCCAAAATTAAATTTTTTCTAGGAGTCTGAATATTTGAGTGCTTTTGAGTTCTTGAAATGCAAGCTACCTCAACGATCAGTCCTTGCCCATTTCAATCCTAAGGTTGGTTCCAAAAGTCGACGTCACCATAGAAGGATTGGGTGTCGTCTTACCAATCGTCTCCTTAAGATAATAAAAAATAAAAGCACTTTTTATCAATTGTTCAAAAACTAAGATGACAACATACTGTTTTCTAAATGTTTTCAAATTTTATCAATAGAGTAATTTCTTTACTAAATTTTTCGCAATAGTGTGGAATTTTTTTTTTTAATAATAAATAATAAGTATTTAATATTTTTTGGAATACCTTACCGGTGGACATAACTGAAACTTTCACCATGAACATGAAAATTTAACTGAACTAGATATGAATTATTTACCTTATTATTGAGATGAAAAGCAACAATTTTAAACTGACATAAACAAGTACATATTTACAACTGTTATTAGCCTATTATATTATTTATTTTTCACTCGTATATAATGTTTGTTTTATATCCATGATTTGATAAACGTAAAGCGGCATCTTATATCCGGGGCACAATGAGCGGGCATAAAGAGTTATTATGCCCTCTCATTATGCCCTATTTTGCTAAACCGAATTAAACAAAAATAGAAAAATGTATTGTTTATTTTTAAGTCCTTCTTTATTTTTTGACAATTTATTTAATAACGGAGATACAAATTACAATTTACAAACTTGTTATTCATACCAAACTTTTCAAGTAATCTTAAACCTTTCGCAGGTTCCTCTATTGGAATTATTTCTGCCTCTGCTTCCATTCTGCTAGCACCGAATAAAGTATTATATCAAAATCTAGAATTGTGTTCACTCATTCTCCAACTACCTTTAATGCATAAAACATTCGTATTCAAATACTTACAATCAACAAAAAATAACTTAGTTTACCTTCTGAAGTAAATATCTGTTGTCCGAAGCATCTTTTAGAAATTGCATGACTTGTTCGCCAGTCAAAACTCGATTTTTTTGCCACATAACCTTTTGAGTTTTTTTCAGAAATATGTCAAACGATGATAATTAGAAATGTCTACGTTGTCGTTTACTCTTAAAGTTGTCTTGACCATCGAGTATTTTCACCATAAGGAACTGGGTGAATATTTTTCTGACTAAAAATGAAGAACACAGTCAAATACTTATTTTATAAACTCAATAACTCACCAATTCTTAGAAGTAAGCCATCATAACTGTCTCGCTGATAAGATTTGCAAAATGTTTAATCTTCCATTTAAGGAAAATTTTGTATTCTTTTTCATATATGGATCCTGATATTCCAGGTAACACATTTTCATTGTTTTTTTTGCGCTTTCTTCGCAATGTTTTCTGGAATTCCACAATTTTCCTCATTCATTTCCGCGGTCGAAAATATACGTGTGGACTCCGTAAATAGACGCCGTATTTGCAATGAATCTCCTTGACAACAAAATCAACGTCACGTACATTTTTTTTTACGAATTAATTATATGAATTAATGTTTTTTTTTAATTTTCTCGTGAAAAATAAAAGTTTGTATGCACCACGGGCACAACTTGATGTTTATAAATCTTGGGCAACTTACAAAATCGAGGGCCAGAGGTCCTCGATTTTGTAAACGTTGCCCTCGAATATAAACATCTTCTTTGTGCCCTTGGTACATAAATAACTATTTTATGTCCCTTATAAGTAATGAATATTGGAATATGTTCCTAGGGTGTTTTTTTGCTTTGTTTGCCACAAGATTTTGTAGAAATGGTATGATAAAATATTATTATTTTATCATCTCTCCATATACTTTTGCAGTAGCTGCTATATTATTAAAAATTCATTACTTTATTTATGAATGTTTCGAATATTGGACACTCTAAGTATTTAATGTACATTGTGCTGTTTAATTTAAAAATTCTTGTTTTATTTCTTTACATATGTTAAATTAAACAGTAATTTTCATAATAATAAGGCATGCTTTCAACCGATAATTTGGAATGTAAGTTTCTGAATGCAATACTATTGATGCGTTAATAATAGTGAGAGAAGCATTATTCTTTCAACATTACTGTGATCCTAATACAACATATCATTTCCCACAGATGAACGATGTGTCCTGGCACTGAGCAAAATAGTCAGTCTTTATTTAACCAGTCGTCGGAAAATTTTGACGTGCAGTAACTGTTCTAGTGGAGTTTGTTGTAGTCATAAATACTCAAAGAAAAAGTCAGAATAAATACAAGTTTTAAGGTAAGCCTATCCTTTTTATGGAGAAATGTACCATTTTGTACCACTCATCACACACTAGTAATATTTCTGTAAATGGTGTTTATTAAAAGTACAACACATGTAAAACATTCAATACATATTATTTGTATATGATCATCTTAACAATTACTTAATATTGTGACTATTGTGTATGAGTTGTCTTATCCATGTTTGTTAATTGTTGTTTCAGTTTAAACATATGGCAGCTGCAGCTACTGAAATTACCATATGTCGTTCGACAAGGAGAAATCTAAGATATATTTTACTATGGCCAAATATTAATGAGGAACTTGAACCCGGCAACTCTTACACCGGTAAAATTGTGACACACGTATTTATAACGGCAGCATTCCCCTTGTGTGTGTTGATCCATGTTATAACAACTAAGACAAGTATAAATGGATAAAGACTGTTATGTGGTTCTTACATCAAACATCATTTTAGGGAATCTAGACGTGCCAGTAGTAGATAACATTAGCGTATTAGCATCTCTAGCTGGTACATATTACATGAGCTTTATATACACGAAAAATCAATCAAAAGTAGCAAGACTTCTCAAGGAAATGTCAAGTTTTGAAAATTTTGGAAAACCTCCTAATTTTGACCAAAAGGAGCAAGTTTTGAATTTTTTCTCCACATTTTTCTTCGTTTATATTTCTGTTGGTATAGTACAGTATGATTTATTAAAATTCAAAGGAAAAGCAGAATGCGAGGAGAAAAATAAAAATGAAGATTTGAATGAGAATTGCGGTTTTATCACTCTGCTTTGGACACCTTTCAGCACACAAAATATTTTTGTTTATTATTCCTTTCATGTATATATTGTTTTCTGCGCTCAGTTACTAATGAAACCTAATATACTGATAACATACAATGAGTTCGAGATAACTCAACATTTGGTTTTAAGAATAAAACATTTGAATCAAATGATTTGCGAAGCTTTCGATAATACCCAATTCGAAATTTCACAAAGTAGATTAACTAATTGCATTTTTTATCACGTAGACATAATCAGGTACCGTGTTTAAACTATGATGTTCTATACTAAAATGCTTTTTTCAGGATGGCCAAAACACTCGATGAAATCTTTTCGAATGCAATGTTTACGCACACTTGCATTACCGCAATAATTTGCGCTTGCATTGAAAAACAATTTGTAGAAGTATAAATGTCACGATAAACTCGACAAGGTTCCACCATATTTTTTTCTAGGGTGATCGTTTATGTGCCATACTACATTTTTCTGGATGGATTCTTACTTTAACGTTTGCCTGTTGTTCTGGACAGATTCTAATAAACGCTGTAAGCTACAAAAGGTAAAGGATTTTGTTTATTATATTGTTTCTAGTGTGAATCAATTTCTGAATCCATCTGGTCTTCAAAATGGTACGAAGCGGATGTTAGATTGCAGAAAGATATTTTGTTTATGTTAAGAAGAAGTCAAACCATTTTCTTTCTTACCGCCGGACCTTTCAGTTCTCTTTCATTTCCACTACTTGTTTCGGTAAAGTTGGACAACGAGATTTACAGAAGAATGATTAATATTTTTCAGGCTGTTAAAATGTCCTACTCTCTGCTCTGCTTATTGACTTCATGAGTTGATGAAAATTTTATTTCTCTACCTTTATGCCTTGGAAAGAATAGTTTAAGACTCAGATAATCCTTGTAGCAGTGGATACTCGTTATATTTACATTAGTTGTAATGCACAGTTTTAGACTGGGAGAATTACCTGTAATCTGACCAAGAACCTAATAAAATTTAAAAATAAATTAATAATGCTTTTTTTTAGTGATAAAAGTCGATTATTTGGGACATTCTATAGATAAAACAATTGCCAAAAGTAGTCTTTTGCATAAAAAAGAATAAGTCAAAATTCGCCAACGACTCCGTTGACTAAATAAAGTGTGCAGTAATTGCTCTTGTATCAAAATGTTTCAAGAGAATATGAAATCTTTAATTTCTAAAATATAGGAAATAAATTTCACAATTTTGAAATCGCGGCAAAGTTGTAGTTAGTACACTGCAACTATAGATTTTTGAAAAATAAAATAACAAACATTTTAAGGAATCTAGACGTGCCGGTAGCAGGTTTATGGTGACCGATTTTTGATTCTGAGAGATGTTTGCTCCTTACCACAACGATTTTACATTATTTATTAAAACAAAATTAAGAGCAACTTAGATGCTATTAATCAAACCACTTTTTGAACATGGATTAGATGTGGCCTTGTTCTTTTAATGTACGATTCACTACGAACTTTGAAACTCCAACTTCAGCTGCAAGTCGGCGAGTGCTGATGTCGGGCTCTTCTTCGTCGCGTTCCAAAATTTGGTCTTCAGTATTTTTTCTGTCCTATCACGACCACTATCGTGAGTTTGAGGTTGAAGGAGATGCTGTACCATTGATGCAAATGTTCACGCACACCAATTACCATATCGACACATTCTGAATTTGAAAAACTGACCATAAACCTGACTTTCCCGACCGCTCGATGATGATTGGCCCTTTTCGTGTTTTCGCACGTTTCTTATCAATCACTTTTTTGGTTCTTAATTCAAGTCGTTTTGCTTGTATAACAATTTATATTTACTTTCTAATATTTTTTCTACTCAGTATCTTGAAAAAGTAAATTTTCCGTGCCTTAATTTAATTTTGAATTAATTAAGTTTGGCATCACTTGATTAAACATGAAAAATAAATACTGTGTGCAAAAATTTATCTCCGAAATACGTCTGGTTAGGTAAAAAAATACTTTTGACGTAATCCCATAAGAAATAATCGCAAGGTCTGAAGATCTTGTAGGCCAAGAGATTGGACTTCCTCTTTCAGTCCAACGTTGTCCAAAACTTTGATCTAAACGATTCCACACAGGTAATGTGAAATGTGGAGGAGCACCATCTTGCATATAAATAATTTCTGGTAAGTAGTTCAAAGGTAAATCATCAATTAAATCGTTTAAATCGTTTTGAAGAAATTCTAAATAAATATAGCCCTAACGAATGTGGATTGTCAATTGCCCAATAATGCATATTCTGTCGATTTACCATGTTATTACCGTAAAATTACTAACCTCTAAATTTGAAATCTTTTTTTACCTAATTTTTTAATTCGTTTCGACTACAAGCCAGGTTGGCCGAGTGGTATACGATGCAAGACTCAAGTTCTGGTTCGAACACGAACGCAGGTTCAAATCCTGCACCTGGCACTCTATTTGACTTTTTTTCTTCAAACGTGACATTCTATTCAGAATCCTTTCAAAATCTATGTTGTAACACCTAAACCGAATTACCAAGATTCAAAATCTCTAAAGCGCCATCAAATAACAAAAACAACCGAGATTCGAACGCCGGTGGTCCGAAATCAGCAACGTAAAGTTGGTGGGCAATGTAGGTTCCAGGACCGACGTCAAGTGGAAGTTGACGTCAAACCTGCTTATATACTACTCATGTGTCAAGTCATTTTTTATTTAACTCAAAAAATATAGATGTAAAAAAAGTATACTGTGTAATACGTGCAAACGTAATTTTACATGCTCGTGTTGATAACTTCAACACTTGCATTTAAGACCCAACTTTCGACACTTGCTATACAATATACTATTCCTACTAAATTTGTAATTATTGCACTAAACTCTTCATCGAAAGCAAAATATACACCCAAAAGCAGCAAATATCAGTTTTAAGGGGGTCGTAGTAAAATTACCGTAGCCACAATTCTTAAGAAGAAGAATACTCTTTTTCGTAGAAGAATTCTTAGATAATAAAATTTGTACTGATATTTTTTACCAAGAAATAGTTTAAACTTATTTTGTTTTATTTTTGTTGCCCGCTTATCAGTGTTTATATTTTAGTTTTATTGAGATTCTCAGCAAAAAACTTTTATTCATATTTATATAACGACCCCTAAATGTAAATATAAGAGCTCATATTTTTAGTTTTAATACGTATGAGCCAAGCGGATTCCAATATAAACAACAGAATGTAAAATTGGGTAGATTTCTACAACAAAATAATACAGGTTTTCTATAAATGTTTATAGGGTCGCAGTAGGCATGTGACGCCTCTCAAATTTAACTGTACGGAGATCCGTACTAAGTGCCTAAGGACGCGTGACAAAGATCACACATGAACCACATACATTTATACAACTGGTTGCCTAAAGGCTTCATCAAATTTATTGACGTTAAACATAACAGTAAGTTTTGAAAATGTTGATTATTCTGTTCAAAGCATATGTTCACTCTCTTTTTAATATAAAAAATGTTCTGTAACATCCTTTCGTCAATACTTTGGACCCTTTCTTCAATTGTTCAATTCTGCTCAAGTCGTCTAAAATCATCAACAATCTCAGACAAAGTCTTCCACGAGATTTCTCTTTGTTGATACTGCCACTTCGAACAAATCTGATTACATCTCTAATGTGGGCCTTTAACGAAGTTTTTTGAATTCTTAAATCACGTTATTTGGTCAGATATTCTTGCTTACAAGCGGTTACAGAATACACTTACTCTTCGTTTACGAAGTCCCATTCCGATAAAAAGACATAACGATGAAAGTGTCTTGTTCAACAGAATAAACCATTTTCAGAGTCTTCGCTTCCTAGCACAAAAACAAAATTTTCATACGCAACCACCAAGAGTTCTGAAAATTAATGTTTTGTTGTTTTGAGCTTGGATCAACGAGAATTACTGTAATTCGCACTTGAAAAATATTAAAACAGTAGAACCTTTAGAATCATTTATAAAAGCCCTATATTAAAATCTATGTAAAAGTTCAAGTGTCATTGTAGTTTGATTTTTTTTTAGTGCTTAGTTACATTTTGAGCTATGTAGGGGTAGTACAAGCAGTTTATTGATATATAGGTTTGTACGGGTCAAATAAGCGATTGATGAACGTTAGAGTATTGAACTGCTCTACTTCATGCAATCTGCAGCTTCGCAGGCCAGTCGTCTCGTCACGGGTGGAGAGAAATTGCACCTGTCTGTGTGATCCACTCGTTGTAGAAGGAATTGCGTCACTCGCGACAATGACCATAAGTGCAATTCCTAAGTCCTCTTAACCTGCTTAACATAAGTTTTAGGTGGTTTCTTGTGGAGCGATATTTATCAAATTTATATGCTCAGGTGAGGAGTAGCTTAATTTATTTTTGACTGCTTGGGGTAATCGGTCATTTTTGAATTAGGGTTGATCACATGTAAGAATATTTAACAAGGCTCATTGTGTTGATATCTCCAATTCTCGTTTTTGTATGGTGAGTCTCCATAGTTTTTGTTTAACTGAGGGATAAGATAGAGTTGTGTATCTGTTTCTAAAAGAAAAGGGTGTGATATCAGCACCTCAAGTACATATACAACTCACAAATAGCACGAATTCATCATGACAGTTTTTTGTGAGTCATGCAAGGGCGCAATAACACCCACAGTACCTGGAATAAAATGTAATATATGCACTTTGTATTATCATATTAAATGTGTGGGTATTACTAAAAATCAATTTGATGTATGTAAGGCTATGACGGGCTTTACATGGAAATGTGAAAAATGCAATATAAACTCTAACTCTAAGGGAGAGTCGTGCAATTGTTGCATTTTACTCCCTGGGTTCTTAGACACTCTAAAAAAACTTACTGAAACAGTTGAGACATTAAAACAGCAAATTACATTATTGAGTTCTAATAATTCAAAGACTCCGGATAACTCTTATGATTTTGAAGTTGTAGTTCAAGAAGTATCTGAACGAGAAAAGCGGAAAAATAATATTATATTTTATGGTATTTCCGAACAAGATTCCTCCCTAGATAGTAAAAATCGTAGAGAAAAGGACTCTGAATTTCTATCTGATTTTCTACAATTTGTTAACGCCAATCCAAACGACTATACGACTCCAGAATCACAGATTCTTCTTCCATCTCGTCTTGGCAAATTTGAAGCAAATCCTAATAAGTCGTGTCCTATTAAAATAACACTCAATGACAATCAACAAGTACGTAACCTACTGAGTCTGATAAAAAAAAATCGTCCAAGTAGTGAAGGTAACCCTCGCTTTAAATCTATTTGAGTTTCGTTGGATCGCACAAGTCGACAACGTCACTATTATAATGAATTAAAGGACCAAATTAAACAAAGTCTGGACAACGGAGAAGAAAATCTTTTTATAAAATATGTTCGTGGTATACCTACCATTCAAAAATCTTTAAACTAACCTCGCCCAAATGCCATAAACGTAATTTAAATATTTATTATCAAAACGTTAGGGGACTTCGAACAAAAACACTTAATTTCTTTAACAATCTTTCTATTTCTGCTGACAATTATGACATAATTGGATTGACCGAAACCTGGATGACTGAGGATTTTGCTAATTCGGAACTTTTTCCTACTTCTTTCCATGTGTTGAGATGTGATCGTAATTTATCAATTATCGGTGGTACTAGAGGTGGTGGTGCACTATTAGCATTCAGTAATGCGTTATCCAATGAAAAGTTAGATCTACATTGTATCACTGAGTGTGTTCCAACAATTGATATTGTTGGTGCCAAAATTTCATATTCGCCTAATACTAAATTAATAATACTTGTTGCTTACATACCTCCAGCC